TGAGAGAAGGCAAAAAAAGTTTTGATAGGATTGAAAGGTTATGTCTTGAAATCTCACCTGGATATTCTTGCACTGATAGATAGATGCACTAAACTATTTTATGTGATTCGTAATAAATATAAAACGATTATATAGAAAGTTTTTTTTTTTTTAAAAAAAAAATGAATTCAAACATATGGTAGTAATAGAGCTGTACGGAAAATGCTTACAGTTTCCTCGTTCTCAAAACTTACTGATGAAAAAAAAAAAATTCTTAATGATTGTCTATGAATAAATTTGAAAATAAAAACATGTACAACGTTACTGAACGCCGTCTGTTTACTATATCTATCTGTCATCGATCATTCATCTATTCCACCTGTTCCTATCATTTTCATGCAACAAAATATCCGATCAATTGATTTTAGTTGTGATAGCAAAATGAAATGTGATATGTTATAAAAAGTATCAAATTTGTTGTGTTGTTTGTTGTTGTTGTTGAATTGTGAGTGAAAATGAGACGAATGAATTGAGATAACAATGATATGACAATGTTACATCATTGATTATATCATGTGATATCTTATCTCTTTCATTGATTCTTGCATTCATCCGAGAGTTATGATTTATTTGCAATCTCTTTGTGATTGGTCGAGTAAACTAGGAATTTTAACTTCTTGGAATTACATGATTTTCTAACTATCTAACGCTTCAAAATTTGTCAAAATCTATAATATTTCTGTTTTAGAAATAGAAAAAAGAAAAGTTAAAACTCTGTGAAATATTTAAAAAAAAAATTGAATTTGTCTTAAAAGAAAAACAAACAAATTGAAATTTAGGCTTATGAATCAAAATCAGAAAAAAAGGATAGAAGAATTTGTTTTGATATGAAAAGAAAGAAAAAGTATTTACAACATTTTTCGAACAAAATATACAATTATCACTACCACATATTCATTCAATTATATCTATCATTGAAAATTCAATATTTATGCATTTATAAGCAAATAAATGAAAAATAAGAAAATTCTTAGTAAATTATAGTAATAAAGAACTGACAGCTTTAATATTTAAGAATGTTTCATGCCAAAATTGTATCGATAAACCTTTAAAAGTCAAAAGCTATTCCTTACCTTTTGCTTCAGCAGGTAAGCAAATAATGGTTACCCGCAACAAAACGAAATTATTTTCAATTTTAATTGCATTTTCATAAACAACGGAGTCAAATTTGAACCAACAATTGTTTTTTCTTTTCGTTTTTTTTTTCTATCTACTTTATGAGGGACAAAGAAAGAAAGAAAGAAAGATATTTACTTAATTAAAAAAAAAAAAAACTTAATAATTGCTTATGTCTCATTGAAGAGGAATTCCTCAAAAATTAGTTCAAATGTCAACTTCTAAAAGATAAAAAGGAATATCAATTGCTGCTTAGAAATGTTCGACATTTTTTATTCCAATAATATATCAATAAGAATTGGCAATTTTCACTCAAAGTTAAACGATTTGGAATGTATTTTTGTTACTTAATTAAAATAATGCATTTATTTCAGACTGTAATAAATTTTAAAGAATGAACAAAAAATTTAGACAATTTGGTGAAAAAAAAAAAATAAAAGGCAGAAAAATGAAGAGATATATTTTGATAAGTAAATTTTACTTGGATCAGAAAAAAAAATTAGGAATTAAATAACAATTGATGGTTTGTTTTCTCTTTGAAATGAGAAAATAAGAACAGAAAGTTCTTATCTTTAGGGTTTATTTTTCAAGAACAATATAAAAAGAATGAAATAAATGTCTTGAAGTAGTCATCTGAATCAGTCATTATTCTATTAGTCAACCATTTTGACAAGGATCATTGTCTTTTTTCAAAAATTTTTAAAAATTCTATTTTCTCTACTAAGGTTAGCTAGAAGAGGAAAAACAAAAAAAAAAAAAAAAAAAAAAAAAAGCGGCTTTTTCTTTAAATCAATAATATATGCAATGAATTTTCAAATACAAAAAATAAAAATAAAATGAAAAAAAAAAATAATCTGAGCAAAATATGGAAATTTTTCAAAGAAATAAATGTATACTTTTAAAAATGGCATCGTTTAATAAATGAAATGTGTAATCACATAATGTTATAAGATTGAACTTTAAAAAAAAAATTATTTTCTTTTCTTTTTTTTTAACTCAATTTGTTATTGACTAAATAAAAAGACTGATAATTTAATAACATTTATTATTAGAGCTAAAATAAAGAGCAAAAAAAAAAAGAGGACAATTTCTAAATAATAGAATGGAATTAGGAATTCAAATTTTTAGTAATTTTCAATTATAAAATACTTGTGGAATAGTTTTATTAATGAAGAAAAAAGAAAGAAAGTAAATCATAAAAAAGCGATAAACATAAGAAAACAAATTATTCTAAACTGCTAAACTCTGCAAAAAAAAAAAAAAAAAACATCTCACTATTATAGTAAATCATCATCGTAGTTCTGAGTAATTAGCAAAAGAGAGAGAGAGAAAGAGAGAGAGAGAGAAATGAATGAATGAAGAAGCCTTCCTTAAACAGGTGGTTGTCAAATTGTCAGTGCACAGATTTTTGCTAATTGCTCCAATGTTTGCTATTGACCAAATTAAGATGTCTTTTACTGAAATTGTGCAACAAAAAAATGTTTTAAATGGATTTTTATTTCATGAAATTTTCCTGAGAGAGGGAGAGAGAGGGAGAGAGAGAATTCTTTGGAACGACAAACACATGCATCTTTAAATTAATGAAACTTTAGAACAAAAAATTTAAACAACAAATATATGAGAATAACAGAAAAAGCAGACAAAATATCAGAATATACAAGAAACATGAAATGAAATAAAAAGTGAAAGTGATGGAAAGACAAATTGAACAGACACGAGGAAATCAACAAAGTGGTCGAGAATTTGATATTCAATCTGTCTTCTTCACTTACTTTTCATTTCATTTCAAACTCAACGAGAAAATCACTGAAACAATATTCTTCGTTGAAATGTCTGATTTGAGTTTGTTTATTTGTTTGTTTTTTCACTTCTGATTTAAAACATCCAAAAAGAGAAGGTATATCAGTGATGGATCAAATTAATGCATGCAATTAATTAATTAATAACTTTTTAATAAGTATGAAAGAGAGAATAGAGCCACAATTGTGATTGAAACCAATCATCATTCATTCATCCGTCCATTATTCTTCTCATAGATCGCTTTTCTCTTTTTTTTTTTAAATCTGTAAACTCTCACTTTTTTGCTTCCTAACTGCACAACTGCTGCTTCACTAATATTTCAGCAAAATAAGCAAAGTGCAAATCGTAAATTCAACAATTACTACGAAAGAAAACAAAAAGAAAGAACGAGATAAAAGCTTTATTTTTGTTTTAAATTTTTGAGTAAAATTAAAGTTACTCTCTTGCATTATACAACATTTTTGCTTGCAATAAGCAAACATCAAACAGTTAGCTGTCACATATTCAAACAGAATAACTGCCAATTTCAGTAAAATTAATTGAACAATAAGACGAAATAGAAAGATAGTGAAAAAGTACTTCAGCAAGAGAGAAGGATACTCAAATCAAATCTTATCAATTCGATGATAATCATCAGGAAAAAAACTGATGACACATGAATGATCGTAAACAACTAATCTGAGCTTTCATCTTCAAAACATCCTCAACAAAACATCCAGCCTAAGGGGAAAGTAAAGACAAAACGAGGAGAGAAGCCACCTGTGGCATTGCATACACAAATATTCATAAAACCGAATTTCCCTTTTTCCAGCAATCATTTCTTTGTGCAAATTAATTTGTCCCTCTCTCTCTCTCTCTCTCTCTCCCTCTTCCTCTCCCTCTCTCTCTTATATACATCTCTCCATACTCAGTTTCACTCCTTCCCAATTCATCCATCTTCTCTCGCTTCAACTCTAATTCGAGAAAATTAAAAAGGAAAGTTTTAATTGTTGGTTGAAAATTAAATGCCTCAATGAAATTTTATTTACACAACGAATCTGTTAAGAAGCACTATAATATCAATCAGAAATTTGTTTTGAAAAAAGCTTTGTATAAATGTTAAAATAACAATTGGTGAAGGAAATATGGATCACAAGCATTCTATCATTATTAGCTTATTAGTCCTAAGACAGGTAGATAGGTAGGTAGGTAGGTATATTAGTACCACATCTGTTATTCTGGAGTAAAGACTGTGGTGTCGAAGGTAATTAAATATTACTCACCTAAGTGGTACCTCAGCTAGAAACATTAACGAACTACCAATGAAATAATCGCAGTGAATTACAAGCAGAAAAGAAAAATCTCTCTGAGAGTACACAACAAACAAAAACTTACTTAGCAGTGCTAATTCTGTAATGCATGGAATATTATATAATTTCAACTTTATCCTACCTGTTAATTAATACCTTTAAACTGTACTATCAAAAGTTGAACTCTGCAAATAGATTTGCAACAAAAACAATTAAGCACAAAATACTTCATACAAACCTTCAAAGCCTAACCAGAAATTTCAACAAATATCTTGAACGATTAGGTGTATCACCAGGTATAATCAAATTTAGCAAAAAATTAAAAGTATGCATAAATTATGCTTCATTAATACAATGAACGGATGATTCTTTGTACAAAATTAATATTAGAAAATGATTCTTTTATCTTTTACACTTTTCTTATAACACTCATTTCTTTCTATTTTATGAATTACTAATAACAGATATAATTGATAACATATGAAATTTTAATTTTGCTTTTAATAATTATACACAAATATAATAAACATAAAAAAAAAAGAAAAATGAAGCAAATTAGCTAATAATGAAAAAAAAAAAACTAGAAGAATTTTATCAGTCAATAATTCTTCTTTTGATAAACTACGAAATGGCAAACTCTTTTTACAATATTTACAAATGGATTAATGAAAGAGTAAAGTACCGAAAGTACGATAACAATGAACAGAGTACAATGATAACATCCTACCCTCTCTTTTTTAAATGTTCAAATGAATCTGTGTATGTGTGTGTGTGTGTGTGTGTGTGTACATCTGAGTGTACATACTTGTACAGACACATACACATACACACATACATATATATATTATATGCATGTGTATGTTCACTGATTAGATAAGCCCAATTTTAAAGTACTTAATTTTATGGCTAATGGAAAATTTGCATTGCTTTATATTCTGATTTTTCTTTTTTCCTTTAAAAAAAAAAAGAATTAATAATAAAAGAAAACAATGAATTGATTTTTTCTTTCTTTTGCAAAAGAAATGCAAAAAAAAAGAAAAAAGAAAAAAAAAAAAGGATTAACTAGAAATTTTCTACTATCTTACAAATGTATAAATTCTCCTAACTGATAAACTTATTTTCATTAATCTTTTATAATTTTAATTTCAATCTTTTTCAGCAAATATCTATATCATACATTTATTTCATATCTACTATCTAAGTAATTTTCAAAAATTTTTCTCATCTAATCATATATCGAAATTTAAAATTCTATTCAGTAAGTAAAATAATAAATAGCACTTTTTGCCACTATTCATATTATTCTTTTCACACCCATCAAAAATAAACCACTTTGTTTTTGAAGAATTTTGTTTTGTTTTGTTTTTTTTCTTTTACTAAATCTTTACAACAAATGAGAAAAAAAAAAAAAAAATGCCAAGTTCGGTTCTTTTTCCAATAATCTTAGCAAATTTGGTAAATATTTTGAATTTTCAAAGCGAAAAAATTCCATATTATTATAATTTTAGTAATAAACATATTAATACTAATCAATAAATAAGCATAAATATTTTAATCATTAAACTTTCATTTCAACAAAAAACAAACAAACAAAAAAAAAAAAAAAAAAAAAGCAAAACAAATCATTTCTAAAATTATTGCATATAATTAGATCAAAAACTATATATTTTTTATAGATACCAATAAGATATGATATTCAATATTAAAGCAAATATCATATTTACTTTTTGCATGATCATTACATAGCTCATTGTTATTTTCTTTCATTGATTATCATCTCAAGTAAGAGTTTATAGAATACATAATTCTTGAGTTCACTTACTAAAACTCAGGCATCATTTGCAATTTTCAAATTCAATACCTGTAAAACAATATGCAACGTGTAACAATAGTAATAACAGCTATATTTCATCCTAATCTTCTCAAATTACATCATTTGAACGCCTTCCTAAATTTCGAGATTAGATAAAATTCCCATCAAACGAGAATCACTGTAGTTATATGTAAGTAGTAAAAAACTTGTGAAATCTCTCTTGCCATATTTAGCAGACTATTAAAATACTTCATCGTAATTTCTGCATTTCACTCTGCTACTTCAAAATTGGAAAGGGACACAACAGTACGAAATGTGTAAATTTTGTCATTCATTCTATTTAAATATGTTTGTATACTTACGTATAAGCAAGCATCTCTTTACATCAGAGAAACTCGACGGAATACATATTGCTTGAAGAAATGCAGGTTTTAAAGAATTCCAAAATATTGTCTTAATTTAAAATTAAAACTTTCAAAAAGATCCCAAAACTTTGTCAAAATATCATTTATTCAAAACAGATTGAAAGATAAAAAGAGTGATAAAAGGGATAATAATAAAAATGAAACTTGAAAATTTTTTAGAGTTGAAAGAAAAAAAAAAACATGAGACTAGAAAAAACACGGAATGCAACAAAACAGTATCAAAATCGCCAAATTATGATAGCATGGTAAATAAATCATAACAAACAAAATTCAGCACGCTAGTAGAGTTCAAGAATAAATTACATGAAAACTCTAGCTAAACAAATTAAAATTTTAAAGAAAATACAAAATAGCCTGGCAAATAACACGTATATGAAGTGTGAAGAGTAAATAGCATAACATTCTGTTGTAACATTTATCAAAGATCAATTCTTAAAGCTGATAAAGCATCTGGATGTGTCGCCGCATAACTGGCTGAAGCCTCAGCTGACTGTATTTCATCTACCGGTTCATTAGTAGCGGATAGTTTTGGTCGCTTTGGTACCATATTACGATTCTCTATTGATTGTTTAGACTTCGATAATTTCAGCATTTCCGTTCGTAATTTTTCTAATATTGCATTATTTGGCTCTAGAACCGAGCTTTCCTTAGTACGATTTCCTACAAAAAATAATTTACAAAGAATCTGAATTCTAAACATCAAAAATTATAAATGAAAAAATTCTAAGTGAAGGAAAATTTGATCTATCGTCAATATATTTTAAAACCAATACATTTTAAAATCGAATAAAATAAAATATGAACACCTTGCAATTTGATTATACTCTGTCGACTTTTTCGTGCTTCTTGCTGTTTTTGTTGTGTTCCATGTCCATAAAGACGTATAAGAGAACCCCATGTGTCAAGCTAAAAACCACAATTTTTAGATTTCATAAAAATTTAATTTTTGAAACAGCAAATACGATCAGAACAATCCTTCCTAATGGTCTCCTCTTTCAGTACTATATTTAACGGAAACACAAATCTTATGTTTATGTTAAATGAAATGAAAAGATGAAAAAAATCCTCCCATAATTTATTTCTTTCCTCCAGAGTAAAGGCATAAGGGCGCTCTTCATATCTGACAAATGGTTGTTCTCATGGCAAACTCGAACCGCGCACCATGCTTTGACAAAAAAATTTTTGATTTGGCCTATTTTAGACATTCAGATTTATAATCTTATTTCAACCCATACAATGAAGGTTTGTTGTTGACAACAAATATAAGCATATTTTCACGATATCTTCTATCGAAGTGTTGTTATTTGTATAGGGATTATTATTATACAGGAAACCATCTGAATAATTTCTATGCAATCTCATTTTTCATAAAAAAATAAACCTTTTCAAACAAAGATTTAGAATCCAGTTTCTCAAATCTTAGGAAATTTTCAATTTTCATAAACGTTACTAACATTAGGATGCAATTTTTTGAGCATTGCTTGGGATGCTTTCTGTTTGCCTTCACGCTTATTTGCACATATAACAGAAACACGATGTTTGCCGACTTCCATATCGAATTGATGGCGTTGATGTTTAACCCGCACCGAATGAACCTTTATCTCCGTGTCACCGTATGCTGCATTTCGTTTCAGGCACTCCTGGAATTTTTTTATGTTTACTCTAATGCAAGAAAAAAAGAAATATCAAAAGAAGCAGCTATGAGTCTGTCAATCAGTGGAATATCAGTAACACTACTTTCATACAAATGCAATGGTAATTCTAAACTGATAAGACTAATAAAATTTTTGTGACTTCCAAAAAAATCTGAATTTAAAATTTTATAATTTTTAGCAAAAGAATTTCGAATTTCAGACAACACAGAAATTGCAAAGGAAAAATGAATCTGAAGATTCACAAGGTGTGCATTTGAAGAAATGAAAAGCATTTGATATCTAATAGTTTCTTTTAAATATTCACTATAAAAAGATATCACTATATCTCCACTTCAAAAAACAGTTTAAGCATACCAAAAAATTATTGAATGCAAATAAATTCATTTAAAGCTTTAAAACCTGTAAGCATGTTTGTAAAAATTGGTCAGCAATATGTCTGATTTCTAAAAATCAAAATTTAATTAAACCTGAAGTAGTAAATATGGTGATGGTTGACCAGCTCTAGCAGACAAATCAAATATTCGCGAATCCTCTATTGGCAACATATCAAACAGTGCTACTGCATCTTCCTTATCACTTTCTGCATCATCTTTCCTGAAAAGCCGAAATCTTAATGGTAAGTGTTTACAATTTTATAAAAGTTTGCAATAAATTTACAATTTTCAGAATCCAAATCAAATAAAGAAACTATTTTGGTTGTTAATTTATAGTGCAGTAAAAATTAGGAACAGTGATTTTAGCGAAATGATCGCAATATATGTGTTTTTGGATGCAATAAAAATACGTAACTTACTTCTTAGTCTTTAAAGAGCAAAAAAAAGAAGAAATTTACCAACTCATTCCTTTTTTATGCAATTTTTTTTCTTCCGCATTTTGAATTATTATATAAATGGAATTTTAATCAAGAAATACAGATATTAAGTGCAAATAAATTGCCCAACAAACATTATTTTATGCATGTATGAACAAAGCATAGGAATAGATCCTCAGCTAGCTTTACTCATTTATTAGAATCAAATTTCGAAATTTTTAACATGTACTCCTTACCAAGAAAATAACTTACTCTTTCTTGTCACTTCTAGCAATACCTTCCGGATCAAATTCTACATCCGGTATCAAAACTTTCAAAGCATTTCGTGCGGCGTCGAGTTTAGCAGTTTTCTTGCTATTACCACAACCTGTTCCAAGAACCACAAAATCAGCATCTAAATATGTAAGCATTACATATTCATCTTTTTAATTATAAAATTTATCGAACAAGAATTGATAACATGACATATTTCAGGACTGCTCCTTTGATCTAAAAGTGCAAAGCATATACGATAGTCAGATTTAGGAAAAGTAAAGCAAAGAAATCCAAAAATTTCACTTATCTTTCCGTCCTTTTATAAAACTCTACCAATGCCCATTTCTGTTCTATCCATTTTCGCCTTATAACTAACCTGGTTGCTCGCCATGTTCTTGTAAGCGTTGTTCCCGTCTTTGCTTTTCTTGCAGAAGCATTAATTTCTCCTTAACACTTGTTGCACAAAGTACTCGGTTATTTAAATTCATTTTCAAACGAGCTGTACATCCATACGGCATTGATGAATTCCTGAAAATAATATAAACAATCCTTAACTGAAAAAATTTTTTTCACTTCTTTCCTTTAAAATAAGACATACATCAAAAAACAATAATTAAAATGTATTAAAATCATGCACCATCTTTCCTAGCAAATTTGTAAACTGAAAATATTCAAATGTTTGTAATAAAGTTCGCATTTTCATTAAAATTATGCATACCTTGTTTCTGAGAAATGATAATTGATGGTACTTTTCAAAACTTTCTGTACATACTCATGCAACACACTGACCGATGTTTTCCCTTGTGGATTAAGAAAAAATCCACGATGCTGTGGTTTTAAGTTCGCTTCTAATGCAGGCACAGTAATTAATTTCACATTTGATGGTAATGCTGTAAAAAATAAGAATTCTTCTCAGAAATAAACTGCACTAGACTGTCATCATGGGGACAACATGGATTTTAAGCAATAAATTGTGGAATAAAAGATTTTTTTTTTTTTTTTTTTTTGAGCAGCCTTACAAATATTGTGGAGCTAATTTTAACAGCTCAGAACAATTAAAATCTAAGAATAATATTGATGGAAACATAAATTTTAAGCAGTAATGCGATGATAGACTAAGAATTTTCTCAGATTAATAAATGAGCTAGTTTTCAGAAAAAATTCATTCGTTTTTTACTTTTATAATCCTTTGCAAATCAAATTTAAAAAGAAAAACGAATTCTCACCGGGACGACCAACTGAAAGTTCAATGGAGGATGCATTTTTTCCAAGTCTTCCAGCTTCGGCAAGTTTCCGTTGCCGGTGAAAATTACGTGTTGCAGCCCATTTATTGAAACGATATGTCTTTAAAAAGATTTCAAAAATGTTTAGTAAGACTTTAAAAGATTTTTTCTTTTAATAACACGGAACTTTATAACAAACTTGAAAACTACCTGAATTTTTCTAAATTTAAATACAGCTTTTGCGTAGTCGTGTAACGCTTCTGCATCGAGTTGACGCTCCTTGAAGTCTTCAGCAGTCTAAAATTTCGGAAAATTTTTGTAATTTTTTTACACATTGTTTCACTTCCATTAGATTTCATCTGTACATATCGTCTCTTTAAATCAACATTTCTCGATTTAATACCTTAATCGAATTTGAACTGCGGAACCAAAAGCTCTGATAACCAAGAAAAATATTTTAACATGACTAAGGATTAAAAAAATTTCCTGGTGCTTTGTAACATATAAACAATTAAAAAAGAAGATAGGCATTTAAAGCCATTGTTTACTAAAACGACCATTGGTTAGTCATCCTATCAGAAAAATGATGAAAAAAAAAATAATTCCAGGTGAATTTTTGAAAATTTGACACACTTACCTGGACCTTCGTACCCGGTGCTTGTAATCGCGCCATTACTAACGCGGAATCTTCAAGCGCACTATCACTACTTTGTACACCGACCGATTCGGAAAGTGCATTTTGCAATGCAGCCGCACTTGCTGCTGCACCGTCTTCTATTTCTTTAAGTACTCGTCGTTGATGCAAACACGGTATAGCGGAAATTGGCACATTATGATGTCGAACGCTACCTGGACCAATAAAGTAAGGTCGTGAGAATGTACAAACCCGCGTAGATTTATGCTAAAAACAAGATAATTTCAAAAAAAAAAAAAAAAAATGAACTCCTTTCCCTCTAATCCAAAACTCTACAATCTAATTTACTGATCGAACAAAAGTAAACAACATTTACTGATCGAACAAAAGTAAACAACTTAATCGTTGCTCGAAAGAGCATCCTAGATTCAGTGCTAAGTCTTATTTGTTGAAATTCAAGAGAAATATTTTCTGATAAAATATTCGAAGCATGCTGTGCAATTTTACTTGCAGAAAAAGGAAAGAAAAATAAGAAAATACGGTGTATTTACAAATTAATTGACATAAATTTGCTGCTAACGAGAAAAATTTGGTAGTAGCATCGGATACTGACCAAATAAATGGGCAGGCCGCTACTGTGAGTCACTTCCACCCATCCTTCTGGTAATACATCAAAATAATCTGTTCCACGATATGCTAATACTATTTTCTCCCGTACTTCACCGTCCTCTGGCATAATCACTTTACCAGTTTGAGCATCCTCTATTGGTTTCTCCAACAATAGGTCGATATCGTCACCATCATCTTCGTCACTGAAAATATTTTCAAAAGAAAGTTACGGTATTTGGGGATATGATGCTAGAAATGGACAATATTTACTCGAATTAAAACAGAAAAACACGAATGTAGTACTTGGACTGAAAATATCTCAAATAATGATCAAATAACTTACGATAGAAAAGTATCTTTCTCATCTTTATTATTTCGTCCATCTATTCCATTTAATTCACTACCACTGTCTTCAGCTGGAAAAGGTCCCAGTAGTTCAAGAAGGAATTAATTTTATAGTAACTGATCCAACTAATTTATTAACGTTAACTGCAGCAATACACTTCAACACTTTAACATCAAAACAATGCGGAAGTACATGATCTCTTCAAGAATTGAAAACAGTATATTTATGAAGTGGAACGCATACGATATTTTAATTAGCAAGTAAACTAAAACATTTTAAGCAAAATAAACTAAAAAAAACTATTTTAACACTCGAATTATAATACCCCACTTTTGATAAGCTAACCTGGTCGTGACAAGCTTCTACTCCGTTCTTCAGGTTCTTCCGATTGTTGCTCATCCAGTAATGCACTCTCACTATTTGTTGAATTCATTTCATTTGACATTAAAAATTGAAGCTGCGGTGGTGGCGGTGCTAAAGGTGGTGTAGGAGGAGGTGGAGGTGGTGGTGGCGGCAGTGGTATTAATTTTTCAGGAAAAATGGAGAAATTATTTTCGGTACTCTTGCATAAGACGGCACTTCCTGTATGCGCATTAAAAACACTGCTTGATTCTTTCTGAAAGTTACAGTTACGAAAAAGGAAAACCGAACTAAACATTAAGAATTAAAATGTAGAGAATTAATAAGGAAAATTAAATCAATAACATAAATATATATTCAAGAATGATCATGCATATAAATTGTGTTAAACATTTGAACGATTGCCTTCATATTCATGAGAAAAAATTCTCTGCAGTTCTATTATGGTTATTCTTATTAATTGCTTTCAACTATCTCAGCAACACCAAAAAATAAAAGAGTTGTTCACTGTTAAGGATGAGTTGATAAAATTTCCAACGTCATGAAAAGTACACACAGTATAGTAAAATGAACTGAATCTGAATTGAATCTCTTTCTCAAAAAGAAAACAATCAATATCAAAATAATTTCTAACGAAACGATAATAAGAACAAACAAACCTTTGCGGTTTCATTTTCCATTGAACCTATTAAAGAACTCAATGAGATTTCTTCCATTTTCTCCTCTGTCTGTAACATTGACACATTGAATCTCATAAAATATGGGATTAGAAAAATTAGAAAAGAAGGAAAAAAAAAGTGATAAGAAAAAGGAAAGTTTTGAAAGACCCTTCAACACAGCACAAAAGACAACGCAAATACAAAAAAAAAAAAAAAAAAAAAAACATTTTAGTCTTTTGGATGTTACTCATTAAGCTCTATGTTACTAAAAAATTTATTATCTCCAAGTTATACTGGTTATCATAAAAAGAGGATTAACATAGCATCAAAAAGCAAAGAAATGGATCAGATTGAGAAATAAATAATACCGGTATGTTGTCAATTTTTGCGGCGCCAACTATTCCAGCATTTTGTACATCGTTTTGAGCTAATTCAGCAATTTCTGAATGCAAGCTTAATTTCTTAGAGCCATTTTCTGTGCCAGTTATATCCGAGGATAATACCGATTTGTGTCGAAAAGGACACTGATGCAAATTTTGGCCATGTGTTGTCGGAATATCTAGAAGCGAAGCACCACGATCCTTCTCATTAAATTTCTTCATATCACTACAACTGGGCTCATCATTCCTTCCATCTTCCATACAGACTGGAAGCGAGACCTTTGCAAACTTATTGTTAGCATAACCATCTACTATCCAAGAATTAGGACGTTTCTCGGTTTTTTTCATAGCTCCTGTCTGATATTTGTTAGCATGATGATACTTCGATATTTTTCGCATGCTACTAGATGATTCGAGCTGATTGTTCGCATTAAGTTGATCAATCTGCTCTCGTAGCTGCTCTCGTAATTCTAATAATTGTTCAAGTTTCACATCTTCTGGGATATCCGCCATCAGCAATGACGCATTACACCTGAAATTTTAGTAAAAAAATTTTATTTGAATCTAAAAACTTAAAAGTCTGGCCCAAAATAAAACTGAGGAACTTCCTTTTTCAGATTTGACGATCCAGAAAGCATCAAATGAATGACAAGAAATGTAACAAACATCTCTGTCGAATGAATTATAAAAGGAGAACAGTTCGACGGATTTGTTCGCATAATTCCTGTCATCTGATGCTTTGCAAATTTTCTTTTTTTTCAATTTAAAAAAGAAGCCAATCATATATTTCGAAAATGATAGTGTCTGAAGCGATCCTCAACCACAATTTCGTATCATTAATAGATATTTACATAAAAACTATACAGGTATCCAACCTGATGAATTATTATGGATAAACTCATTATATTTGTTAACCCAACATTACTTTACTATTATTTTGCCACACATCCGTTAACAAACCTTTGCAATCGTTATAACTACTAATATGTTGCTACTTACAAGGTATACTTTCACGATATTAACTCGATAACTGCTCTATGAGAATTAGTAAAATCTCAACGCCATATGCCACTATTTACTGATAAACTGCTATATTATTTAATTATAAATAATTGATATTACTGACCAACTGTCACTGGAAAAAAAATTGATCCTTAAAGTTCATTTCTTGTCTATTGTAGGTAATTTATTTCAGCAAAAATTCTAAAATCAGTCTACAATTCCTACAGTAACATCAATCCTATCAGTTTAGTTAAAAAGAAAAACTTTTTCACCAAAAAACGATATTTCCTGCAAACCCAACCGTAAGGAAAAAATTTCATTCACAGTAGTCACTAGTGTTCGTGAGTTACATATAGCTAGCAAAATATTTTATTGGTAGTATTTTTAATAAAATAATAAAAAATCACAAAATACACCGAATTTTCTGAAATCGCCAGATCACTAAGTGAAGTTTCCTTTCTTCTTTTACTCAACAATGAGGCATTCTTAATTATTCAATAAAAAAGCACTTCATTCATCGCTCGTCATGATTATTAATCCTGCTTAAGGTACCACTATGCAGTAATGGTATCTCGTAATATCTGTCAACTAGAAATATCCTTCGATTCCAATGACAAGTGTTATACAACATACAGCTCGATCACTTCCTCAACTTCTAGCGATATATTACAATGCCAGCAATTTTCAGCATTTCCAAAACATTGCAATGTTTTTCCTATTTCCAAGCTTTTTCTGCATAATTTTAAATCTCATTAATATTTCACCCTGATCAATAAAACTAGCATTTTACGCTGCAACCACACAGTGAATTCTTAAAAGCAAACGGAATAGCATTTGAGGCGATAAATTCTGAGCTATAGAATATCCATCGGCTAATTTTATTAAATAAAATTTTTGAATTTTACTCCTTCTGAAAAATATAATCTTAAACAAAACTACTCCATGTATAAAATACTCTAATTCTTTGAATTTAATGGTAAAATGAAGATAGCCAGAAAGAGATTCTTAATAATTAGATATGCATTTAACCTAAAATTTAAAATTCTGAAAAAGAAAACAAGGATGTATAAATCCAAATATCTTTTCTATATAAAAACATTTCAACCAAGAAAAAAAAAAAAAAAAAAAGAAAAATAATTTTAAATAAAATAATCCAAAAAATGATTTCACTACGGCAATCACATACAAAGTGTCATTTTATGTAAATAAATGGCAATAATAAGAGCTAAAATACATTCTGAGAATTTCATTACAAAGCACAAAGAGCTTCCACTAACATCTGAAAATGTAAATTAAAAACAAAACTGTAACCACTCCCCCTGTCACTTAAGAAATAATTCAACAAAGTAGCAAAAATTAGCGATACCGAATTAAAGTAGTCACTCGAAAACACCTAAACACTGTTGCAGCTAAAATCTTTTCAACTAGAAATTACCAATATTCATTGCAAGAAAATTAGAAATTGCAAAAAAAAAAAAAAAAATCAAGTAGCTTTGGTTATTTTGTAATATCTTGATGTGACATACTGTCAATGCTATGAATTACTAATAGTGCAGTTGCAATCCTACTGCAAAAATCACTGATAGTGCAGTTGCAATCCTACTGCAAAAATCACTGATAGTGCAGTTGCAATCCTACCTGCCTTACCTGCTTTTTTTTTTTTTTTCATCTCTGCTACATATATGTGCAACCATCGCACATTTGCATATTTTATGAGCACAAAATAATGATCAAATAATATCATCACTTCATTATTTAAGATTCATTAATTTGCTATGTCTCATTTTCATTATTAGAATAATCATAATGAAAAGCAGAAGTGAATTCAAAGATGAAAAAACATACCAAAACAGTTTGAAATAGCAATCTGAAATAGCTGAAAGGAAGATCGATTAGATCGATTATGCAAATTATCCATCCTCTAACCTACATCTAATCAGTGTTTTCTGTTCTCTCATATTTTAATATTAAAATAAATCCTATGCATTCTTCTTTTCTTCCTCTTTTGATCACTTAAAATATAAATGGATGGCTCATCCAGCTATATTCTCCATGAAACTTTTATAATGCAATTGCTTTAATCCAATAGAAATATTATCGCTTCAACTAATTTATTTGCTTTTTTCATCATTTAGGAATAAGTATGTCTCTCTTATTTCAATAAATGTTCCATCTATGACATTTGTCACTTTTATATTCATTTCCTTTTATGCTTGTTTTAGTGTTATTAGTTTTCTACAAAAATTTCTTTCCCTAATTTTTGCAATAGTTTAGCATTTCTTCAAACTTTTTAAAATCAAATTGAAATGCCAAAGAAAAGTGCCTTTTAACGGAGCTTTTAATGACCACAAAAAAGAAAAAAAAAAAAACAAAAAACAATTTTCACTGCAAAATTTTATTCTTCTTAAAATCTACAATCATTTCTATTTCTTATAAAATAGCAATTTCATTTCTTTTTTCTTCCAATAAATTTTATATTTCACAACTGAAAAAAAAGAAAAGAAAAAAAAAAAAAAAAACACAGGCGACAATGCATGTTGACAATTTTCTGTGCTAAAATAAGCTTCATTTTTTTTTTTTTTTTTGCTATCTGATAATATTTCACTAAGAAATTTTACACCAATTAATGAATTTTTTCAATAACAGTCACAGATTTTGAAATTCATTTATTAATATAACGCTGTAGAATGCTAGTAATAAATAATTTGATTAATTATTAGCGGATTGATGAAATTATTATGGATTTGAACTCTGTTTCCGTTTCCTGAGAAGTAGCCTGATTTATACGAGAATTAGCCTGATTTGTACGATCTTTTTCCTAAACTGTTACTTTCCTACCAATGTTTGTTGCTTCAAAATTGGAAATCAAGAATATTTCGCAGTTGTAACCAACAATTACTATTGAGATGATTTTAAAACTTTTTAGACAAAAGCCAATTGCGACATTATTGGATTTTTTTTCTTTAAATATTGTTCACTTTTTTCATTTTCTTTTCTCTATCGTTTTTATGTCCTAAAGTTGAAACCATCCATCCATCCATTTTAAGCCAACAAATCTGTCTCGTTAAAAAGAGCCAAGCTCAACTTTTCACTCAGTTCCATTGAATCATCTTAATGCTCAATTTCTGAAAGTAATAAAATGAGATGCATTTAAAGAAAAGCATTTAGAACAAATTCAAGATTATACAATTTCATCTATTTTTTCTATCTTTCTTTCATCTTTTTTTTTTTTTCTTGTTGATAAAATACATTTAAAATTAGTTAATTATCTTTTAAATCATTAAGGTACTTAATGATAATATGAATTTCTGCTCTCAAAGAATATGTTAAAATCTTATTTTTAAAACCAATCCTTTGCATCCTATCATCTTTCTCTAAATCTTTTTGCCATTAAAATATAATCACAATTGGCTTCATTAATCTCAAATAATAAAATGACTTTTCCCAATTATAACATTAATTACTGCTACTTTTATATCTGAGACAATACAAAATACTTTTTCTAATGCTTGATTGAACGAATCTCTCAATGCTTCCCTGTTGCCATCCATTACATTCGAATTCTTGAATTCCTTTGTTCAAATATATAGATAACTAGGCTGATATAATACTCAAGGCTAATAAATATACCAGGCTCAATATATTACAAGTCTATTTTATATACCAGGCTCAATATATTACAGGTCTATTTTATATACCAGGCTCAATATATTACAGGTCTATTTTATATACTAGGCTCAATATATTACAAGTCTATTTTATATACCAGGCTCAATATATTACAGGTCTATTTTATATACCAGGCTCAATATATTACAGGTCTATTTTATATACCAGGCTCAATATATTACAAGTCTATTTTATATACCAGGCTCAATATATTACAGGTCTATTTTATATACTAGGCTCAATATATTACAAGTCTATTTTATATACCAGGCTCAATATATTACAGGTCTATTTTATATACCAGGCTCAATATATTACAGGTCTATTTTATATACCAGGCTCAATATATTACAAGTCTATTTTATATACCAGGCTCAATATATTACAGGTCTATTTTATATACCAGGCTCAATATATTACAGGTCTATTTTATATACTAGGCTCAACATATTACAGGTCTATTTTATATACCAGGCTCAATATATTACAGGTCTATTTTATATACCAGGCTCAATATATTACAAGTCTATTTTATATACCAGGCTCAATATATTACAGGTCTATTTTATATACTAGGCTCAATATATTACAGGTCTATTTTATATACCAGGCTCAATATATTACAAGTCTATTTTATATACCAGGCTCAATATATTACAGGTCTATTTTATGTACTAGGCTCAATATATTACAGGTCTATTTTATATACCAGGCTCAATATATTACAGGTCTATTTTATATACTAGGCTCAATATATTACAGGTCTATTTTATATACTAGGCTCAATATATTACAGGTCTATTTTAGGAAATTTTGCTTCTAAAATTGATTCGTAAATTGTG